ATTTTCTCACACGACTGCGATCAATGAATAATCGAGAGAATTCCACAACAGTTTAGATTTGAAGTCGAAAGTTTAACGTACCCAATGACTGTACGAATCTCGAGAAATCACTTTTCGTGGCGATTTTGAATAGCGATCACCTGGAAACTCTACGAACAGTGTCCAGTAGCCTTTTCGGCGCACCTGAAAAATAAATTACGTCCTCCGCTTTTTTCTTACTATGAGCAGAATAATTACACAGTAATTATCGCGAAATAGTAATGTTCTCTTTCAGAAAAATTCAATCATTCCATTTTTCGGGAATTTTGATCGTTGAAAAGATAGTGGTCAAAGGCGAAATGACGAGTGATCATGTTTATGAAACAATGTGTCAAATCCTGGAAATGTTTTGGATAAGAGTTTGACAGCAGTTCAAAAGGAGTACATGAACAACCTGATAAGTCTTTGTGAACACATCACCAGGTGCCACATAAAAATCTGCAGTATGACCAACGCCAACAAGACGAAAGAATTTAGCGTCCGTAACGTTGTGATTCCTAACGGATAACGTCAGCTCATATCTTCGCGGATAATATCGACTGTGTTTCCGATGGTGCGTACAACAGCAACCGGCTATTAACACTAAGGCGATTAGCAAATTGAGCCGTAAGGGATGAATAACTGATGAAGTAGACGAAGAGAATAATGATAGCTGCTGCATTGAATTGGTTTTTTGCTTTTGTGCCCAAATCCAGAAAATCCACGAACACACTCTCGAGAATCACGCAGAATCCTCACAGATCTTGCTGATCCCTGAAATGAAATGAAATTCAGTGAGATACTAAAGTTGAATTTAAACTTTGGTATATCTCTAATAATATATCCCCTAACACCTCATCACTTCCGTCACTAAAATTATTTTAATCGTATTCAGAATCCTAGTTGAATAGCTGAAATTCCTAATGAATTCCGTTCACAATAATCAAATTTTAGTAGTTTTCAGAATATCAACAATAATCGAAAAGTATTCACAGTCACAGGATAAGGTCATCATGAAAACTCGGCAATGAGCAATTTAATTTGAAGAATTATTATGATGATGATGATGATGAGCAATTTGTCGTTTAGATAAAACATCGTTCAGTACAAATTTAGTGCTTGATCAGCGACTGACTGCAAAACAACTGCTAATTCATGACTTTCAGAAATATTCTCCTCATTCCGATTCGTTCTCGAATCTTTTCTTCGAATCGTCAACAAATCAAACACCTTATTGACAAGCAATCATCTAGCACAATGACCTTACTATAGAATGTGTTTATGTTTTCATGAGTGGTTATTTATAATTGCATGAACACTCAAAGCATACACGTTCTCTAATCTCAAATGCCTTCATGAAACAATGTTGGATCAATGTTTTCAGATTTTTGAGAAGGTTTCCCATGGGAATCACCTTCTATTGATTCACATTCTCATTGCCTTGATATCATCTGCAGATTCAGCTCTTCAACCTTAACTCTATTTTCAAATCTACTCGGAATAGGCTCTTGAATCAACGTTCCGAATAAAATATTCTCGCGTCTGTTAGTCAACAACAATAAAATGACCAAAATTTTTTAGCCGTATCACTCACCTTTATTACACAGCTTACTCCGGATTAGTGGAGCTCGTTGATGATATAAAACAGTTGTGAGAATAGAAATTGAAACTTTTAAAAGTGAAATCGACGGAATTTATGTCATCATAACACGCTCCAGACACGGAATCAGCACCAATCCACACACGATTCAAGAATCGTATCTGTAAACTTTCAAGTGTATCTCCTCAAAGCGATCAAACGAAAAACTACATTCAAACGATGCTCTTTTCAGAGATTGAGATTTTCTATTGGATAAAGTGCAATTTCGATGTTTTTCAAGTTCAATGTTAACGTTCCAGTTGAAGAGGGAAATTCCAGGTTCCTCACACCACGAATATTCATCAATATCTGCTCGATTAGCAGCTATCGTCACTGGACTGTCGCTTGAAATTCAGCGAAATCAATTGAAATGTTTACTTGAGGTTAACTGCAAGCAGCTTGCTTAGGCTTTCAGTTTGTTGTGGCAGCACTTATTTGTACAACTGTTCAACGAATACAGCAGCAGCAGCAGACGCTAGCGAACGAGCGACACAGCTGGTGACGACGAAAATAATAGATAGAGTAATGCCGCAGACGGAAACTTCGAATGATGAATCGATTTTTCCAGAGGGAAAATTCGATCAATTTCTGTGCGGGGCTTTTTTCTGGTGGTGTTGTTGTTGTTGTTGTTCCAAAATGCAAGTAGCAGCAGTAATTTCTCTCTGAAACGACCAGAACGACTCGTCATTATTGGCGATCTTTTAATGTTGCAGTGCAAGAAACGTGTGAGGAGCAGTGAAATGAGAATCTCGTTCAGTTTTCAAAAGGGTTATTAAAAATGAATGCAAAAAAACGTT